ATACATATATTGCTTGCTTGATTAATTGATTAAAGATTAAAAATTGCTGACATAATGAAAGATAAATCGATAATTGATTAAAGATTAATTAATTAATTAATTCAATTGATAATTGATTAAAGATTAAAAATTGCTGACATAATGGAAGATAAATTGCACCATTCTTAGACACTTATTAAGGCAACAGGACAAAGGTAAATTTTAAGACCCAAATATCAAGAAAGGAAAAGTGTTGTATTATATACAGTGTATATGTTCAATTAGCAAATAAACCCATGGTTAAATTACTTATCAAAAGACATTTCTATAAAACAATTTCCAACAAAACTTTGGTAAGATCTTTATATCCACTCTCCAAGAACATATTCCAGAGGTACTTGTTGATTTATCTACTTCTGGTTACATTCAATTGTTTATCAAGATAATTATAAACTCAGGAGTACTTTTCAAGGCTTTTGTGCAACTTAAAATTCAATGTGACTTTTGGCTGTGGTAATTATAGTAAATACAGTTTGTATACTTAACATGCAAAATAATTACATTCATTCTACCTAAAGTGTGTATGTTTTGAGATACATGTACATGAAAAAGTCTTGGATGAGTCAATTTTGAAAAGAGGAAAAGTGACTTCATAATTACATTACATTAAGTTTAGTATAAAGAGTAAGTGAAAAGTTACCTCGTGAATAGACTTCCACCTCACACAGCTGAAGACTTTCTTGATTTTTGGCTAAAATCCCTATATATCTACCAGTTTTCAGTGGATTGGTAAAACAAACAGCTGATGCAGTGAAGTTATGAAAATCATAGAGTCCTCCACAGAGGGTGTTGCCTGCAACATTAGCAGAGCTACCTGCAGATTAACAGGCACAAAAAGTGAGAATTACTTGTAGAGTTGGGTTCCCTGTGGCATATATGATCAATTGTAATGGACTCTTCAGTAAAAAACATATCCTGGAAATGTTATTTGGCATATTAAAACAGAAACTAAAACTACCGAAGCAAGGATTCCATCAAATTAATTTTGTAAGTGCCATAATATCTTTAACAAAGTAGCCAGGTAAAAAAAATTATTACTGGAGGTAAACTTCTGAGTGTCCCATGCAAAGGTACAGTGTAGACAGGTGCTGACACTTGAGGCACTGGTTCTAGTATTCCAGTCCCATTTCCATCTACTTACTGAACTCTACAAGCAACCAAGAGTAAGATACTTGCTGGAAAACTTAAAACTGAGCAATAACAATTAAAAACCATCTGGGCTAATTAATAACAAGTTCAATACAGCTTGACTTAGGTTTCAAAAATTCCTGTAACACCCAAACTGTCTTGTTGTTTAGCAGTTGATTACAAGATAATGTATGCATGGTTGACCTCTAATTCAATCAATGGATAACAAAACTCACCTAATGTTATTTTGTAGCCTTCAGTAACCACATGTTGTGAGAACCTGTTGACTATATGAACTTCAGAGACATCAACATGGTCTGAACCCAGGTCCACTCTCCACCAACTGGGGTTGTCTTTCTGAGTATGTGAACAGCTCCCTTTTAAAAAGTTAGTGTCAGGGTTTCCATCCACTGCTTTTCCAGACACACCATAAACATTATAAACAGTATTGTTGAATGTTGAAGACTGAACTGTAGCTTTCCTCAGGGCAAGGTTCTCTGTGAACAGATATTGAAGAAAATGTTACCACATGGGCCAGGAAAAACTTACCATTGTAACAGAGTGGTTCCACTCAAGATATTATAAAACAAAATAAAAACAGTTATGCAGTTATTTTCCTAACCTCTTAGCTTTCCTTCCACACCTTTTTTTTATGTATAGTTGTAATATACCTACAATTCTCTGAACCAAATAGTGTCATGTAGGAGATATTTGTGCCAATTAGTTTCAAGTTAGAGTTCAATCCTGCAATAGCTTATGAATTACCCATTTCAGATTAAAGCTATTTCTATCATTTCCTCACTTCTGTTATAAAATGACTACCTTTTGCCTAGTTATTCAGTTGATTTAACAATTGCAACATACTACAATTTGTCAAGCCTTGGTTTGTCTATATTTCACTTAGCACTGACAAAACCTTCCACAAAGATAATCTCAAAGAAACTTAATTTTGAACAGTGAACTTGCTAAGCAGGCAAATCCTTTCAAGAAGTATCAAAGAATACCAGAATATAAAATCTACATAATATATAAATGGCTTATTGACCAAGTGTGAGGTCAAGATGGCTGTATACCAACCAAGTTCTTTTTTCCATAATTTTGTTGACAGAGACAAAGTCAAGGTCCACAAAAATAGAAAAAGTAACCAAGTCAATAACCAGCCATCTTACCTAAACAAGTTTGGTCAATAAGGGATTTATTATATAGCTAAACATTTTGCTTTCATAAGAATCAAGAATAACTTGTTAATTTCAAGAGCCAGGGAAGGAAGCTAACTGTGTTTGTAGCATAATAAACCCAAAAATGTTGCTTATGTTTTTTCTGTTTTGACTATGTTCTGCCTCTTTTTGCAACTTTATCACTGGCATTATGCAAAAGTTACTAACTTTGTAAGTCCACTTTTTCTTGCACAGGATCAAAGAGGGCAATCTTGAGCAAGCAAGATGAGCTCAGATAGCCAATCAGAACACAGGATTTGCTTCATATTGCCCACATGCACTGCCAGCAATATGATAAATGTATATATTGAACCTCCTTTGGTTATATAATATTATCATGCCTGCACATATACCTGGCTTTTGCTTCACTCCAAACACTTCTGTTCTCAGACACACCAAACCCTTGTAAGTTTGTGGCAGGAAACGCACATATCTTGTCAGCAGTCCATAAACAACATGCTTCACCACAGAGTTTCTGTCACCATTTCCCATGAAGACCTAAGATTTTAAAAAGTTATAACATTAAGTAATATTACAGATACATGATGCAAATTACTGTAGGCTTCAAGTAAATTGGTGACTTAAGGTTAAGAAAAATGAGATTATGTTAGAACAAAAAATACTGATTTGTAAGCACAATGTCCATGTATTTGTTATTACATGAAATACATGTAAACAAGTTGTATTTTTGTACTCAAATTCTTATTACTCAGAAAAACATTGCACCTTAACTTGTCCAGCTTCCTTGTAGTCTGTCCAAGTTGTCCCATTTATGGATAATTGTAGAGTGTAGGTCTTCACCCACTGATCTGCTTGAGAATTTCCTTGAGTAGAGACAGCACAGATGATATGAAGAGTCTGTAGATCAATCTGTAGATATGGGTTAGTGTCACTCGTTCCTGCACACCATGATGATTCTGATGTGTAATTCAGTCTACCATTCTTGGCTGGTGTGTTGGCATTTTGTACCGAAGAAGCGGTTATGTTACCATCTGAAATTCTCTCATTTTCCAAACCAAGATCCAAATCGATACATACCCCTATTAGAAAGTTAACAGATAAAACAGAAAATTATAACATTAAACATTAAACCAAACTAAGTAAAGCTAAATGAATAGTCGTGGGTAGATTTCGTTTTGAGTTTTTGATTGCAAGAAAATTCATTTGCTTCATTGCTCCTGCTAAGATATATATTTCTAACAAGGTTCTGACTCTTCTGATTTGTGCTTTATACGGACATGAAAATCTTGATATCCCCAGAAATTGAGGTCATTTGCTTCACAGACACAAAAACAACAACTATATCGTACGACATTTCTATCATCGATACTATTTCTTCAGGACATGTTCAGCCCGAAAAATAAACTAGTTATTTACCTGGATACCTAGGTGTTTTATGATCGTTTTAGTTATAGAACACACGTAGTAACTTGGTCTAAAAGCGAGATTACTGTCCTCCATGTCGACTATGGCATGCTTAGTAACCATGCCACGACCTTGGGTTTTGGCGGGAAAATAACCCAGCGTGCAAAGTTAGTCACGTGATCATTAAATAGGTAGCCATATGGTTTTGTGAGTAATTTGTAATCGTACTACCAGGATATTTTTCAAAGGCTAACAAAGGTAAACTCCGTAGTGCGAGTGCAGTTTGTAGTCATTTATTCCCAAATTCCATGGGCTAAATCCTGTTTTCATTTGCTCATCGTGAACCGTGAAAGGAGTGTAAATGATCCCAGTTTATAATAGTGGCATTGCGACCTCACCCAGGGATTCCGGGGCCGTAGGATTGTGTGTAAAAGCGGATTAATTTTTGACCATGGCTAGGTGGGTTACCTTAATTACCTGAGATCACCCAATTTCATGTAAACAGACCCTTAGTGTTACGACTACCATCTGGTCTCAGGAATTGTTCTAGTAACACTCTGTCGTTTAACCGGTCGTTAATAAAACTCCATAGAGCAGATTTAACATGATAAATTTAACGATGACATCATCAATTGGACCAACGATTGATGGAGTGTGTCCAATTATTTACTGACACTAGAACACTTTCAGACCATTTGCAATTGAACACATTTCAAAATTTCACTTTACATCGCAAATTCTCGTTATGCCTTCAGAACATCTATAGAGATACTTTTCATGAAGTAGCAGAAGCCAAATTTTTAAGAAAGAGTTTGCCATTAAAATGTTAAGCGAGCGCTAATCAAATTATGATATTCGATGATTGTTGTTGACGTCTTTCGTCACGAGAGGGTAAAATTTGTCAAATTCTGGCCTTTTGAAATGTTTAGAGTACCAATCGGTGTAGTCTAAAAGCTCTGTCCTACTATCTTTTCAACTTAAAATGGTTAAAATCTAAGATTTATTGAGCTACTTATATAAAACGGTCGGAGTTTGTTCAATGAACTAATTTGCATAATCGGCTGTCACGCTAGCAAAATCGCTGAAAGTTTGAAGTCACCGTGGCGAACAAAATTAATAAGTGCAAGATGTTTTTATATTTTTCAGCAGCCAAACATCATATTAGAAGAAATCAAGCGGAGTTTTCAATGGTCTGGTCTGGACTTGAGCAATATCAACCAAGAAGGAAAGAGTACTTTAGACCAATTTCAGAAAGCTGTCTAACGAGTGTTTTTAAATAAATTATGACGAACCCCTGAATAAACAAATATCAAAATTGAAATACTTTTTATTCACCTAACATATCACACAGTTTAAAAATACAAGAGATTTTTTGCTGCATGCGGTGTGATACGAGGACCAGGGTATTCAACTTTTGAAATTTTCGATGTCGCAAGAGGTCAAAAAAGGGCCTTCAGCAGCTTTGACTTTTGAGAGCTCTAAAAATTTTATTTTAACGCAGTATTTCCAGAAACTAATGTGGTTTTATTTACTTGCTACCAAAGATAGTTTATTGGACAAAGTTTGAGGGAAAACTTTTTCCCGATGCGAAATATCTTGGACCGCTCTTACAGAGATCGCCTCTTAAACACCTACGTCTGAGGCGAGCTGAGTTCATTCTTTGTTTAACTTGAACTGTATTTTCTATTTGCTTATGGCGTATTGTTTGAGTAAAGTGATGAATACGACTTCATTCCAACGCTTGGTCAGACAGTTGTCCACTTTGGCCGTGTTTGCCTGCTCATTTGTTAAAACAATAGTCGACAGTGATATGCCAAGTCACTTATTAACATAATTGAACTTTCAGTTTACTTTGTTCTTGAAGTTGATTGGTTTGATTTGATTGGGCTCACGCTGGTTTATTGAATAATCGTCTATTTATCCAATACCTTCAGCAGAAGCTAAATGGCAGTAAATGTATCGAACTAGTTTGCACACTAAAATGGAAACTTAAAATAGGCGCCAGATTTGCATAATGACACAACTTTGTGTTCAAGAAATCGGACAGCTTGTAAATTCAAGCAAAGCTCGATATGGTGCAGAAACTGTTTTAAGTAAAAGTATAGGAAGGCAGTCGAAATCGTCCAAATTCTAAAACTACTTCTCATGTGATCATAGCTTTCAAATATGCCTCTCTAAGAATGATGACTGTGTAATTAGGAAACCGTCATATTTTAATCGATAACGAAGCGAGCTAGTTCTGTTCCGAAAAAAGTTCAGATCTCTCTCAAGCTACCGCTTCATAAACATCGTGAAGCCAAGTAGAGAAGATCATGCTCTTACGTAACTAAGAAAAAAACGAGCGACGAGGTCAGTCGGTGAGACGCTCTTACCCCTTACCAGGAAGTAAATCATACTATGCCAGATAGATTTGAAAATCGCAACTACAATTCTCCCAAACTCATTCTCTCAAGATAAAATAACTTGTCAGATGTTTCAGCTTTAAAGAAGATGTTTGAATTCACATGGGATTTTTCGGTCGCACTCGACAGTTTGTCAATTGACGGCAATGAAATGGAATTTAATTATGTCATATCTATGGAGTCCCTGCCGAAAAACAATCTGTGATTTCGTTGAGGTATTAACTCATATGCCCAGATTACAAATGATAGAGAACTCACCGGATCCCAGAGGAATAAGAAAAGCGAAGAAAGCCACTCGAAAGTACAGCCCGGAATCAAACTCCGACATTTCGCCGCTATTGTTACTTCATAACTCATTAAGACACTGAAACGTTGCAGACACCTGATGTTTCAGTTCAATAACCTTTTGCATCTTAAAAAGCTCATTCTCTCCGTTGAAGCGTATCTGCCAAAATATAACTAAACCCATTATGGTATGTATTCCCGGAGTTTCAGCAGTGTGCCGAAAGACGACGCGTTGACGGTACGGGTTCACTGTTTCCTCTATTTTAAAGGATGATCTACAAGCATAAATCAACGGAAGCAATCATGAAATCTCAAAAGAATTTCCGAATAAAAAATAATGACTTGAAAACTTTCTACAACAATCTCTGGTGTTTTTCCCATAACTGTTGCACTGTTACAGGAAGTCTAAATTATTTCTTTGTTTTTCATTGTCTCTTGGTGCGAACGTCACTGGTTATAAAATAAACTTGTCAATCATAATTTGTGTGCTGAAACATTTAAAGC